AGAAATGTGTTCGTACAGTTTTTGTTTAAGCTCATAATTATTTGATCTTTCTACTCGAAATTATCAATTTGCAATGAAAAAAGTTTATATCCTCGGCAGAAAATTCGATTTGTTAAATTTACATTTTCTCGACGTTTCAAGTAATCATGTCGCGCAGTCAATAATAATAAATATTATCTCGGACTCTTGTCGTTCTGAATCGTTTGACACCAGAATTGGAAATGTAAGTGTGTCAAGCGATCCAGAATTGGAAATGTATGGCGATCGACAAAGTCATTTCTTTATAGTTATCAGAAAAGAACAAAAATCTTTGTCAACGTTGCTTAAAGTTGATGACAAAAAGAAAATCTATATTCTTAAATAATTTTTATAAACCATGATGAATTCATATATCTACAATTGGCCTCTGTAAAAAAAATCTTTCGCCTTTAATAAATTCATTGGCTTTTATAATAATTATTTTGACCTTCCGAACAAATATTGAGACTCAAATATAATTTCTATATGTGAGCACTGAATGATGTCTTTATCATCATAAATAAAACAAGATACTAATAATAATATAACGTTAAATATTTTATTTTATCAAGATATACAATATTCAATATCAAGATGTGATATAGTGATCGGTGATCCATAACTTCACTACAAGTTATTTATAACAAACATCTAGTCCAATTGAAAATTATAAAGATTGGATTAGATTATTCAACAATCAAATTAATCTAAAAAATGGATATGTGGAAATCTTTATCAACATGGTGCACCGAGTAATCGATAAATTATAAAAATATAATTTAATATGAACCACATTGATTTGAAATATTATGATAGCCAACAAGAAGAATCTTCCGAAGAATGTGGAGCAGAGACTAAATTAATTAAACATGTATCTTTCTGTTTACTATTTCTTACTTATTGCCTGAATCTATTTCAAATCTGGGAAAAATATATCCGATGTACTACTAACAAGAATTTGCTATTGCTCAATAGAATATTTTTTAAAGAACCGTTTAGGCTAAAAAAAAGAGCACTATATAGTATATTGAAGTTTGTACAAAGATATAGTTTTTTAATTGCAACATATTGGCTATAATCTTGGGTTGTTGAAAATCAACTTGGTTTGAGGGATAACACCACTATAGATTCAAATACTCGCCAATCACACAAAAACACTTTTAAATTCCTTCTACCAGAAAAAAAAATGACAAAAAGAAAGAAAAACACGTTTTTAACCAGTTACAGTAGTGTTACTCCTCAATCCAATGAAATTTTATGCAGTTCTGTTACAAAATTATATCTGTTGTAATATTTAAAAAAGTTAAACTTTTGCTTAACCAATGAAAATAAGATCTCAATAGAAGACTTAAATTAAATATGATAGTGATACATGAGCATATGTTCATAAATCAACTTTCTGATTGATTTTCTATGATAAATGCATTGACTACACTATTTTACTTACTACTACACGTCCTTTACAGAATGCATATAAATTAAAATATGCAATATATTTATATTCATTGAGTGAAAACCGATTTGTAAGCAAAACAGCTTACAAAAACAGGAGGATGGAATTTACTGCAAAATTAGTAACACAGTAATACCCCGCTTAACAATGTTTCAAATGTGGAAAATGTTGAAAAAATAGTTAAAATAAAAACAACAGCTAGACCCTCTCTAATGATGATTTGAAACAATTAACTGAGCAAGAAAACAAAATTATTGATAGGTCCGAAGAAGATCAAATAGAACTTAGATGTGAATGATGTTTGTAAATAGGTCTTTGATCAATAGGACTGAAATTATTGACCAATTTGTTGAAAATGATCCAAACTTTAACAGGAGTCTGGATATTACATATGATTTATCCACTTATCACCAACTTCAGAAAGAACGCAAACTTTGACAAAAAATGCAAAAGATTGGAAAGAAGACTGGGCTGAATTCCAATTTTATTCGATTTTAAAAATATATTAAATTATTCTACAACTTCTCTTAACCCTGTTTTACATGGAAAAATAGCCCCGTTTAGCGCTGGTTTGCTTTACAAGTTAAACGGACTATTACTGTATAATAGTGCAATACTAGTTTAGTATGGTACAAAAAAACATACCATATTATCACCATTCATTCATTTGATAACTTAAATGTGAGTATAAATTCACATCATTCACACTTTCAGCACAATTTGTTTTCGCAATCTCTAGCCTAACTTTCTATCACATTAGTCATTAAACTAATTTGTATACCAACTACAAAACATCTAGTGGGAGCTTCACATTATTGTACATACAGAAATATTCAAATGATCTACCTACATCAAATTGTTTGTGAATATGAAAAATTGCACAATTAATGTAAAATTCAAGCAACTTGTATGCTGATTATATTTAAAAGTAAAACAAATAGTTAAACCGGTTCGATCACATTATCAGTATAAGAATTTGTTTCTAAATGTTTTCAACAATTATTTTATGTGTAATACGAAAAACAAAAAAATGATTAATGGTTAATTGTGATAAACATCATGTTGTATGCAAAATGCCTTACCATGTGTTTTTATGGAAATATGTATATACATGAATATAAACATTCTTAATAATTCCCTTATATTCTATCAATTAAAATATTATGTAGAAATTTTAAACCTAGAATTTGTCTAATAAATTAATAAAGTTAGTATATTAGCATCTCATCTAACTTAATTAAGTTCTGAACAAGGAAACTAATAGGAAATACTTGGTCCCAAATATGACTTATGAAAATTGAATTCTTTTAGCTGTTTAATATTTATGGATTGTTAAGCAAACATGTTATTAATTCAAAATCAAAGAGGTATTGTTGATCGAATTAAGCAGATGAGCAAACTAATACACTTTAGGCCCAAACTGAAGAATCTATATAAAATTTGAATTGTATCATGATAAGAGCTGCTAAATACATATATATATATATATATATATATATATATATATATATGAATTAATTTTGATGTTAAATATATATATATATATATATATATATAAATTAATTTTGATGTTAAAATATATATATATATATATATATATATATATATATATATTGTATGATTCTATATATATGTAGAAAATCTTCGAGGCAGTGACATCAAATAAAAATCAAAAAATTATGTGCCATGCAATTCGACATAATTTTATATCATCTTCAATGAACTTAAGAAATAAATTTAGTTAATTCTCACTCAAGGATGTTATCCAAAACAAATTGATATCAAACTTATAAAATTCATAATTGTTATTGATGTAACACTTGGCCATTGCAACTCATATATATTATATTCTCACCAAACCTCAGATATTACAGTATTTTTTATAAGGATGATATCAATATGTTTCAAATAACACCCTTGACTTCATTCAGAGCAAAATAACTAAAATTAATTCAAACTACAAGTAAATGATCTGTATCAATCTAAGTAAATAAAATAAGTAATTTAATACACTTACAATTTGATGTCCGAACAGCAAATAATACACTAACAATACTAATACACCATGCACTATGGTAAAATTTTTGTTAACATCTCAAAAACAAACACTATTGTTTATAAAATAAATAAAAATCACAATTATTGAAAAATTTTGCAAATTTGCATGAACTGTCATTTCGCTTATTGCTTGAAATATGGGTTATATTACGGGTTAATTGGCGAAATAAACACGTGGTTTTCTGATAGTATTACCATATAAGTGACACAATTCATTTTTATTTTCAAAAACCACATTTTTTGCTCATTATATTCAAATTAGATTAAATTAACGAACTCTGAAAATTGTCATAACTTAAAATTTTATAACTAAAATATATAGAAAAATGACATAAGCCAAATAGGGGCGAAATTTGGAGGTTCTGTATGCTATGAAGTTTGCATTTCAATTGCATTCAATTGAATCCAAAAGGCAATGCAGAAAAAAAAATTACTGTAGTGTTCAAATAATAAGATGAGAATTCAAATTTAAGATGAGAATCTGCATTTGATTTATAATCTTGGGTTCTTATTTTTTTACTCCCCTGCACAATTGAAATTTATTGCCTTGTGTCACTTGTCTTGCGATGTTATGATTTTGCAATTACTTGTGCAAATGTTTACCCTTCTCGACAAATATTATTCAAAAAAAAAAAAAAAGAAAACATTTTTATCCCAGGCGTAGAACAGTTAATACATATTTGCAATACTTTAATAATTGTGATTTTTGATTATTTTTGTTGTTTCAAAAAGTTATACTATATTTACATTCTCATTACATGGAGTATTAGTATTGTCACATTTTCTATTTGGATATCAAACTAAATATTTTAGATTAGTTATTTTGATTACTTAGATTGTTATTTACTTTGTTTCCATTAATTTTATTTGTGTTGCATTGAACAAAAACTACACTATTAGCCGAAACATATGCAGATTAAATAAATATTAAATATTAAAATTAAATTATACATTTTTATAAGGATACTATAAATATCCTTCCTTTTTTTTTTGATGTACTGGTCTGAAGTAATTGATACCCATTTCAACATCAAAATTAATTTATATATAAATATATATATATATATATATATATATATATATATTTATGTGTTATTTAGAATCACAGTATAGTATAATAAACAAAACCAACAGATTTACTAGAAAGATACATAGTACCATGTCAACTATGTAATCAAATGACAATTTTATAATAAAAATCATAATCAATCAAAATATTTAAGATCACACTTGAATCTGAGAAAACAATTATTTAGCTACTGATAAAACAACCATAATATATGTTGATAAATTTCCAATATGCATAATTATAAAAAATTAATTTATTATAATTGGTTGTTGTGCAGCCAGAACTGTATTAGAATGTACGTTACAACTTAGTCTATATTAATTAAATATATTATAAATAATTAAATATTATGTAATAAATATAACATGCATGAATTTCCTGTTTCAAATGTGACCTTGTGTGTAAACCAGGTTAAAGCACAAAAATGTATTTGGTATATCTATAAAAAAATTTAGCTGTTTATAAAAGTTTTTAAAGATTATAATTGACCTGATATTTAGTAAGTCAGTATAATATATCTATGTCCATGGTAGAAATTTATATAACAAAAAATGATTATCTGTTTTGCAATTGATCACAAAACAAAAGTTGAAAAATGATTTGCCCTTCATATCAAACACCAACAACAATTTTAAAAGATGAAATATTAATCACCTCAAAGCCTGATTATCACAGGCCCCAGTAATAATTGCTTTGATATAAAAAAGAGCAATTTTCTTATGTGCATTTTGTGAGTATTTTTATGTGCATATTAATTATATCTTGAGCAAATCATTCACAAGCTCACATTCTGTTATACAGGTTCAAAATTTGATTATACAGTATCCCTTTAATAAAATCCTAAACATACGCAGCGGATAAATATACATTATTACAGTCGCTCTATACACAATACTTTACCTACTTATTACCTACGTATCTATTTACCAAAAATGCTAAGTAAAGTGATGTTCATGTATTTGAAGTTTCCATTTTCTTATAACTGCAAATTTAGGGTTCCGTTCAATTAATTATGATATTTTAAAGAGAGCATATTGATGTAAGTCCATTTATTGTCCAGGGGATAATGTTTATCAGTGTTTACTTTACGTCGAGCATTTCTTTAAGGTGGCGCATCACATGTACACCTATGTCCTTCACTTCGGGCCACTGTTTTATCACAAACACTATCAGCAATATCAGTAAAACAGTAGTTAGAATGCGCACACTGTAATAAATAAATGAAACAAACTTGTATTGTATACACATATACATATGATACAAAATTTTGCAATAAAGTAATTAATTCATTTGCATTGTCAGTACTTCTACTGAAAGTAAACGTACATTATTTCTCAACATTATTGGAAAATACATATAGAAGTACAATGATCAAACATGTAGGTCTTTTTTTGACAAGAAAAAAATTCTGTCACTAAAATTGAAAAATACATGGTAAAGAATTTTTTCTGAAGATCGCGATTTAAAAATCGCCCTTAGCATGCATAATAGCATTTTAGCATGCGTTATAGCATGCAAATTGCTATAACATATCAAATTCTTTAATCAAACTTGTGTTACAATTAATTCAAGACAGAATATGATTAATGTTAATTTTGGTAGAAATAGCACTCATAAAACCTTTAAAAAAAACATTAGTGTGCAAAAAATTTAAGCTTATATCAAGCACTACAGAACCTAATTTCATTAGAATGCCATGAAATAAATACATTGATTAAATTTCAAATATAATTAAACATAGCTTTGATCTTTAATATCTAGCTTAATATTGCACTTAGTACACTTTATAAAAAAAGCAATTTTAACACTTATCTGCCATAAGTGTATATCACTATAGAATGATAATATTTCTATGTTGCTATTATAAATGCTCACCGAGTTCTAAGAAATGGCATGGTTATCCCTGCGGCAGTTGCTACTAATAATAATATAACTTGTAACACAGTCAACACAACATTTATTAGTTTTACCACCAGCGCCCGTGCATTAGAATTATCTATACCCTCCAGTGTGACATACTGCTGTTGCTGTAAAGCTTGATGCTCCATTTTGCATATCTTATAAAAATAATAAAATTGTGTTATATATTTACATTTATTTAATATCTATTTCTTATTGATAAGTTATTCAACCAACCTTGGTTTGGCAATGCTCTAGCATCTCATGAATATCTCGTAATCGTTCCTCACTTTGGTATTGCACTTTCTCCTCCATATCGGCTAATGCTTGTTTCAAATTTTCAACTTCGTTTTGATGCAGCTCTGTTAAATCGTTTATTTGTTCTTCAAGTCGCTCTGATTTGAAACGTTCTTCTTGAAGTGCGTTGCTTATAAATTGTACTTCTTGTTGCAAGGCCTAAATAGAAGGTGTACTTTTAATATGATAACAAAATTAAATTTAATATTAAAACAAAACAAATTAAATAAATCTAATCTAAAAACTTTTCACATCAAACATGACAGAATAAAGAAAATTAGAAGAGATGTTTTATGAAGCGCAACCAGATTATTTAGTGAGCTTTCAAAGAATATAAAGATGACTAGTGATAAAAGTTATTTAGAAAAATAAAAAATATTACAAAGAAAAGAAAAATAATGAATTAAACAGATGTGAATCTGTTGTGAATAGATGAATGAATGTGATTGAAATAGAATCAAATAAATACATTAACTTCTGTACATGTGTTGTCACTCAATTGCCCCTAAACAGCTATTCGGATTATGATAAATTATTATAGATTTTGTCAACACAAATAAAATAGTGTTAATAAACTAAAATATATAGTAATTATATAATGTGAAAAAAGGAAAAAACTTTTACTTACACTAAACCGATCTAATTTTTCCCTCAGCCTTTCATAATCTTCCCGTCTCTCTTGCAACTCTGTAAATATTGGTTTCAAACTATTTATGCTGTTCGAAGTGCTTGAACTCTCCCACTACTGTAAGATCAGGAAGGCCTTTAATTATTTTAGTTTAGTCATATATATTTTTACAAAACAATGATGCTTTGTAAAACAAATGTGAATACTTGTTTCATATTTCAACCTTATGAAATCTTTGCCATATTTTAGTTTTTTATATAAGCAGACAGAAAAACTAAATTAAAATTATTCAGTTTACTCACCCAGGAATGCTCTCAGAAGTGACACTACTGCATTCACTGCCTTCCTCACTAGGAAACTTGTTGGTGATCGCATTTGAAGAGTGCCCCATTGGAGCTCCAGAATTTAATGCACAACCACCGGGCAAAGTTGCAGAACCATGATGCGCCTTCTCTTGTCCACTAGATTCCCCGCCACTGTTTTCTGCACCATTCCCTACATACCAGGCTAAAAATTATAATTTATTGTTGCTGGTACACAAATGTGTAAGCAAAAAACACATATCTCTGTAATCTTAACCAAACAATAATAATAAAAAAATTAATAAACACAATAGTATAGTAATGCCTAATACTATATATTATGTAAAATAGAAGTATTTTAATATATATAAATTAAAATAATTAATTATACTGACTTGAAGTTAATTGATTGATATTATCTGCACTGCCAAATTTGTTTTTTATGAGGTGCGCAAACTCCCTCGGTTTAGACATCACAGAACCAGAGAAACCAGTAATACCATCTCTGATATTTCCGCCAACGTTTCTGTAGAATGTAGAAATGAGCAATTAAAAAGTTAATAACAGTGATCACAAAAATCTTTTCTCAAAATTTAAATTCCCAGAGAGAACAAAATAATTATAAGGAACCCAGAAGTTTTGAGCAGCATAATGCTCAAATAATACCAGTTAATGTTATCAATTATTTTCATATGTGATACCAGATTTAATGTTCTCAATTATCAACTATCACCTTATTATGTATCAACGTTGCAATAATGAATTTATTCTTATCAATTTTCAGAAAAAGAAAGCAATAATCAATAATTTCATACTTTAGCCCTTGGCCCATGTCTCGAAGCACCCCTCTTGTCTGCTTATGAGATCCTTGAGTTTGTGCATCCCTCATTCGTCTTGTATAATTTTCAAGTTTCTTTTGCAATTGTGCAATAGAATGAGCGCTTTTCTGATTTTTCTTTTCAAAAACTGCCTTTATTCTCTGAAGTTGTTGTTTATCAGCATTGGCAGCTAATTTAAGGTATTCATCAACATTATCTAAAAACCATTGAATTTGTTAAATAGATTATTAAAAGGTATTTGATAATAATTTCACAACTAACCGTCTCTTGTGGTTTGCTCTTGTCTTATCAAACCCTTTGTTTTAATAATTTTTTCTTGCAATTCAACAAGTGTTCTGTTTATAGGGTTTGAATCACCTTCATCACAAGAAACAACATGTTCTGAACTGCCATTAGAGAGCAGAGAAGCTGATGCCAAGTATTCAGGGTAATACTCTGCATCTAGAATTTATAAAAAGTAATAAAATTTTACCCAAAATATATCCGAATTTTAAACTCATTAATATGTAATAAAAAACGCATAATTCTCAATATTTTAAATATAAATTAATTTAATATAAACCTAATAGAGCGGCTTGATAATCCTCATGTGAATATCCATGATGAGCAGACATGGTACGTTGTGGTGTTAGTGTCAGCTCGTCGTCCCTTCTTCCAGTAGTAGGTGAACGCTGTCGCCCTCTGAAACTACTGGAACCACTGCTTCCACTACCCCTTCCGATGCTGATGTCCACATCCCGGCTAGACACTATATCAGAAATAAATTATTAAAAACAATTCAAGCCCAAATAGGAAATGTAAATAAGGAACATCATACACAGTTTGAGCATTCTTGAATTTTATACAGCCCATAGAAAAATTAGGTGATGTAATTATCTGTACAATTGACATGGATTAGGTTGTAACACTAAAAATTATCAGAAAGGTTTAACACATTAAAAATGATTAACTGTGCTCTATGATAAAATTTTCATACTGATAAGATAATACAAAGATAAGCCCACTTACAATTTGCATTATAGTACTGACTTGATTAGTTTTACAAATCTTTAACTAGAATTTACATTATCCCAACCCAATCAAACAAAAACAAAATTACATTTAAATTAATGTCAACAGAAAAATAAAAATACATTTGACAAAAGTTTTTCATTAACTTGGAATGAAGTTTTATATACAAGCTGAGGTAATACAAATAAATTACATTAAATTATTAAAAGCTCTGTATAAAACTAAAGATTTAATTTGCATACCACAGATTTATAATAATAATTTTTTTTTTTTTGCTATAAACCATTCAACCATTCAACAAAAACTTATCATTTTACACATTCGACTTTATATATGAAGTACTTACAATGTGATACATGTGCATCATGAGATTCATGTCTTAAACGACACGGTGAAGCACTGCGACTAGAAGTTTTACTATTTGTGGCCTGCAGGGGTGTGACCTGCAAATTATCCATTGTGGGATCCCATCTGCAAAAACAAATTGTTTTTCAAAACAAGTTCTTTTATAATATTGTTTAAGCTTCCTCTCTCAAAGAGTATGACTAAACAACACATATTATAAATTAATCTTAATAAGCATTCATGAATCACTTAGAACACACTAAACTAATATGCACTTACATAAAATTTAAAAGCACTCTAATTGATTTAATTAAAAATAATTTGTTTCTAAATTAAAGGTAAATAAAAAAAAGTGAATAACAAACGAATAGGATTGAAGTTTCACAGAAGAACAAAAGACCGAAATTTTTTAAACCGATACAGCAAATTATGATACATACCTAAAATCATTTAAAGAACAAGTTTATATTAACTCGTTTTGATCATATTAATCGGGCCATCAAATTTTGCATCACTAAGCAATCTATGGATGTTTCTGTTTTACATTAAACTTTTGACAGAACCATTTTTGCGATACGAATAACATGGACATTTATAAAACGATGGGATGTTCATGAAACATAGTTCGAGTCATTTAAGATTATATATAACATTTTTTCATTGGTGTCGAGTCCAACAATATTCACTGTCTTATGCTACATTATTAGAAGTTCTTAATAATTAATTCCAGCAAGGGGTCATAAGTCATTCAATCAAATGTCGTGTTAGTTTTAAGTTTGACATTTGCAATGTTAGAAAGTTGGCAGTGCGTTTGAAAATCATTCGAAGTGCACTTCATGTTGCAAGCATACCAATATTGTAATGATCGTTGAATTACAAATTCAAATTTATGGTGTTAACTATTTATTTAATTATGTATTATTATTTATTTATAATTATTATTTATATATGTATAACTTGAATTTATTTTATACATGCATGTGCATTTATTTATTTTTAAACCTATGAGCCATAGTTATACTGAATGTTTGAGAAATTAAATAAATAATTTATAAAACTGAGAAATCAGTAAGTTCATAAAGATAGTCGTATCATTGTAGGATAAATATACAGAAAATTCTTTACTTATATGCAACTATAAACTATGTAACTATTTACTATATAACAGTTTAATGAGAGTAATATTAAATGGAAATTAAAACTAGTTGGCTTAGTTAAAAACTAAAATAATTAAAAATAAATATACAAATTGTTTTCATAACTGTATTAACATATAATATAGATAACTAGCTGCACATAAAAAATCTAAAATCTTTGCTATTTATATAATTATTTAGTTTAAATAAAACATCAACCCATTTAGACTCGAAACTGAGTTCTTATAACATATTAACATATGTTTGCAAATATAATCTGTTCATTAATCCTAAAAAACTATCCATGTAGCATTTTTGTATTAGAAAATATATTTCAATCATTAGTAATTTCATCCATAAATATTTCACTTACATGTTCCACTTACTATTTATGCATACTGACAAGCACCCAACTTTCAATTCTATCAAAATTAATATCCTGGCAAAACGACATTAGATCAAAATTCCTTATTTTATTTAAATTATTTTATAGAAGAAATTGACAATTAGTTAAAACTCAGTAATGTTTTGAACAGCTTCTGGATAGAATATTTGATATTAAACATGTAAGAACCAATTTACTTGTTAATTTACAAGCTGACTCGATAAAGAATTTTACTTAATTAACAAATCAATTGATTCATCTTCATTCTAAAAAATATTCTGTATCATCTAAAGTATGCTTTTGTGTCTCATGAAAGGTACTTTTCTACAAGCAAATGGTCGTGAAATAAACTACAAGTAACCCCTGTATAACATAGTACATCAATAACACAGTTGGAAAATTGAGAATATCCCTTTTATAATATGCTATTTTTAGAGCAATGGAAGAGTTTGTAAAAAGGAACACAAATTAGCGATAGAGCATTTATATATACATACCTTTAAATATATTTCAGTAATGATTATAAGCACTACAGTAACTGAATAAAGTAACTTGTTCAAACTTCAAATTCAAAAGGAATATTTCTGTATTTCATATACAAACGTTTCAGATAATGTCCTGTCTAAATTATTGGAAGATAACTACAACTAAATAAAATCTACAATAAAATTAAAGCAAAGTAAATCATTAAATTAAGTAAAGTAAGTAATCTGAAGCATTTTTGATCTCATAATCGTAAATCAAACAACACTTACCAAATATTGAGGATGATAATGAGGATATATAATCAACTGTACCCAATTGGGTCCTGAATAACGATGCGTGGTTTTAATATTCAGTATTTAGCCATTAAGGGACAACATATGAATAAATTACAAAAAGCGCCTCTTTCATAAACAATTATGTATATATGTTCTTACAATTGAGATTATCGTATGTCGAGCTGAGCTGTTGAAATTCGAAATGAGAATATTGAGGTTATGTATTATTTGAAATTTTGATATTTCCACAAGCGGATGACAGTTTTGACATTAGCTTTGGCTTTGACAGTCGCAGTTGGTATGCAGTGTCATTTGTTTATTGCGATTTTTCATCATTTTTCGAAGAAAGTGATTTATTAATCATCTCGATCCTTAGACAATATAATCTCTATCCTTATTACAATACAATTTATTTTATCTTTAAGTTTTTTTTCATGCACCTATAATTTGTTTTTCTGTTTTTGCGAAAACGTCAACAAAAGGTCAAATTTTTTCTCACATACGTTTTGATGTCGAACGATTCAGAATAACTTTAAACGTCGAGAAAACATAAAATCGGATTTTCTGGTAGGAACAAAATTCTTCGGGAACACAGTAATTCTATTTACGCTTGAATTCTATTTATCTATCTATACTTATGGTTGAATTCTGTTAATTTTTTATCCTCTTCATCTGTTGTTGTATATTTGGTTAAAAAAAACATAATAAATATTTAACAAGAGTTTATTTGTAACAGTGACATTTAATATAAAAAATGGTATGGTAGACTGCAAATGTAAAGGTGTCGAACAATTACCACCAACATTTTCATTAATTCACTAAGGCTAAACTCGTTAAATTATAAAAAATATAACTCATACAAATAATAATATATTTCCAATGGCATTTGGTGCATTCTGTTATTCCAAGCAAATTATTCGTTTCTTAGTTTTAGTGCTAAAATTGGAAGAATTCTAAGAACACAGAAATTTTTGTTCAATTTTAATTTTGCAGCTATAAAAATTAGATACAATTTTTATGATTTACATATTTTCCACCTAATTTATTAAGTTTTGTCAATGTAATTGAATTTTGAAATCAACCTAATACTATACTGATTTAAGTACATATTGCAATAATATTAAATATAATACAATAGCATTTGCACATAACACATAATATTATATAATTAAGTAAATGTTTCTTACAATTGCATTAACATTATGAAAACCTTATCAAAATGTATTTCACTATTTATTGCAATCAATTATTTTGATAAAATTATGTGGTTGAAGTCAAATTATTGATTTTACTAATTACTATAAATATAATTTTTTTTGTATGACTAATAAAAAATAATAACCACAAATACTCACAAAGTTTTATATATGAGAGAAATGTTTTAGATATGTATGCGAAGGTTTGGTATTTGAATTGAAATGCAAATTACAGTAATTGCAATTATATTGTCAAAATATGTTTAGAATACTTAATTAAAAAATTCATCTAAACTCTAAAATTGAAACCTCTCATACATATTTAAAACGATTAAAAACATATAATTAATTAATTTAATATGGTATATTGCACCAAATATTTCAATTAATATTACAGGCAATATTAATAGCACTATTTTACATTTACGATTACTTACTGTTCTTACTGTTTATATATTATTATGGATGACTTAGTTATTAATATTATTTATTAACTAAACAGCAGTTTTCCAATTCATGGACAAATTTATTGCCATATATAAATATTATACATATATTTATCTTCAAATAATCCATGATTAAAAATTTATAAGGGTTGTGCAATAAATTAAAGATTGCAATTAATACATACCGAAGAATAATACTATTACAAAGCCTAACTGATCAGTGCAATCTGAAAACCACTATAGCACAATGATTGTACTAGAAAAGTCAATATCTTTGTTGAAATTCATGATGCCAGCGGTTAAAGTCGATGTGGAATACCACGATTGAACCAGTTGCTAAGCCGGCCAGCAGGAATCTGAAATAAATAAATTAAAAATTAATGTACGTCTCATGACTAATAATTTTAGCATAGTCATTCTTGCTTTTCAATATTGAATCTATATTAATTAAATAAATTGGTAATGAACTCTTTTAGTAGTAAACTATACAATTTCATTCAAGCCCTTTATATTATAATTTATAAAATTCAATAACTTACTTCTGATCATGGGATAAGGCTAATGATCGAATGCTGCTATCACAAGCAGGGAATGCATAAAGCAGTGCCAAGTTAAACGTCCGCCAAACCTCAACAATACCTTTATCTCCACCAGTCATCAGGTATTCACCATCACGACTGAGCAGGAGCGTCTTAAAATCACAATTGAAAGGTGAAATAAAATTCTATCTAAAATAGTTTCTTATGCAATATATGTTACCTGTAAATTATCATTGTGTGACTCATATCTCAGTCTTTTGCCATTGACCGTAAATGCGGCAATGTTTCCTTTCTTATAATTGACTACTATCACTCCTTCTCTGGACATTGCAATATTTTCCGGAGAGCAGAAACCTTCCGGCGCTTCCAACGATCTCAGTAAATCGCCAAATGTAGTATGGATTAGAACAGGTCCGTCTACAAAAATATATCAAGAATTATTTTAATGTAATGTCGATCAATTAAAAAGTAAAATTATTGATTCGAATATCTTACTGGTTGATCCTGAAACGACGAGACCCAATTCTGCGCTGATAACGACTCCCGATACGGGCTTTTCGTGACCGGTGAGCGTCGTCCTGGGCGTCGGGACCTCACCTTCGCCGACAATGCTCTGGGTGCGGGCGTTCCAGTGCCAGAGCAGGACGGTGCAGTCGGCCGAACCTGATGCGATGTAACAGTCTGATGTTATATTGCACTCGGAACGAGACAGGCAGGTCACCACACCGTAGTGGCCGAATACTATCTGCACGATTTTCGCTGAGGACAAACAAATTAAATAAGTCTTAAGGAATTCAAAATACAGGTAATAAAGTGATACATATTTGAAAAAACGTGCTATCATATTGATGTAATGAATACAAATATGTTTACCGATTTTTTAAAAAAAGTAATAAACAGAAAGAGAAAACTTGACCATGTTTTCGCAAAAAATACTGAAACGATTTATTACTTTTTTTAAAAATATATTCACCTGTTTCCGTTGAGAAAACTCTAAAGCTGTTGTCCCAGAAGCCACAGGCCACAAGAAATCTGCTATCGACTGTCGTCACAAAACAATTCGACCTTATTTGCAGTTTTTGACTAAAATTATCGCCCAAATGCCGGCGAACAGTAGAATTCGAACTATTTGTAGCTTGGGCTGAAAATGAAACATAAGCATTATAATTATTGACTAACGATAAATGAATTAAGAAAATGTAAGTCAGGAAAGCTTATTTTATTATTCGTTACCAGATGCAAATTGAATTTTTATTTAACATATATCAACTAAAAATTAATTCTTCTGAACATTCTATAACATGTTCATTAACTAGTATTGTATTGCTACTAACAATAAATATAATGACGACCAAATAGAAATAAATTCTATTTTGTTACAAGTTCTGATTGACTTTAATTAAGTTAACCCTCTAAAGGTAGCTTATTTGTATTTAAATCTACTTACAAAGTACGGGATCCATCGCAAGAGGCAGATTACTGCTTTGGTTTTGGCTGGTTTCAGCATAACTTGGCGACTGTACGCTAACGGCATAATTACAATTCCATCGATTTACAGCAAATTGATAATTTGTCGTAACAGTTACTACTGAAGGGAATGGCAGCTGTGGATAAGTGTTCGCTGATATATGACATATTGGTGAATTCGACAGGAATTTCATAGCCATGCATACATCGTCCGGTATACTGGAGAACATCATCGGAGACTGAAATATTTAAATGTAGCCATAAAGCAGTTTGCCTTTGCAATGACAAATCATAATTTCATGTACTTACCACGTGCATTGCAGAACTTCTAGGAGGGTGCGGTTCCATCAGCAACTGCGATGGAGTTTGTCCAAAATTCTTAATTTGGTTTTCTATTGACTCTCTCATTACTGGATCAGCTATTGAATCTAAATCTACACTACCTTCGTAAGTTAGATAATAAAATACATTGGTTGCTCGGAGTGCTTCGGGCCCTGTATTAACGCATATTCATTACATATATTGTAATCAAATACATAACAAACACTCTTATATCAATTACCAACCTCTTTGTTTATAACCAAATATCAAATCGATCCACTGATGCAGTTGACAAGAAACAAACTCGGATTCAAGAGCCATCCGATTTATTCTTATGAACTCTTCAGGAGAATTGGCCCACGGTGGAAGTTGAACATTATTTACCGGGGTTCCATCCTCTTGCTGGCCTAAACGATATCCAGAACTGTTCACGAACATTTCTGGCAGGAAAAACCATTCTGGTATCAATTCCTAGAATATAAAATTTTATTTGTATTTAGGAAAGTAAGTTGATAATTGTAATTTTATGATAATATTAACTTGTTGTTACCTTGACGTCTGATGTGTCTCTTTGGCAATTTTTCCAGGAATTGGCAACTGAAGAAAATAGACGGTTAGGGTGGTCAAATTTTCCACCTTGTAGAGCTAGGAACATTGTCGTAAAAGGTTCCTAAAGACGAAAGACAAATATGTAATTAATTATTTAATATATATGCGTTTTTATAAAATATAATAAGGGACGTCGTATAAATAACAATTTTGTGTTGACAAAAACGTACATATATTAAAACTTCAAAATATTATTCAAATACTACTTTAATTACCATATATAATTCAAATACCACTGTAATAGTCCGGTCTACACAAAAAATATAGCCCGGCACTAATATTGATGTTAGTAGCAAAGATGCAATTTTAAATTTATAAGCTTGTTTGATTTGAGTTGTTGAATTTATAAAAAAATACCTACATTAAAAATAACAATAAGTTAAAAAATAAATAAAAATTATTTTTTTATTTGTTTAATCAGATTCATGTAGCAAAAAATAATTGAAAAAATATTTCTCATTGCATTAAGATTATATCTTCTATATTAGAAATACTTGGATTTTCAAAAGCAAAGAACATGGTCTACTTTTAAATTAAAAGTTTGAATAAATAACACAAGATTCTGCAAATTTTATAAAGTCAACATTTTTAAATTTAAATTTAAGTATTTATTCCAAAAAACCTTATCAATTACAATTAGTAAAATGTCCGTATTTTAACGGAACGAGGAAAAAGTAAACTCATCTCTTAATCCACCTTACCAAGTTAGTTTAATTTAAAAATATTATACTTTTTGCTTTAGAAACAGCGCACATTCAATATTTGGAGGAAATTATTATTATATAACACAAATAGTCATCAGAGTTCTGGTAAAGAATATATAATAATTTGTACATGTCTTACTCACGAATTAAAAATAAAGAGATATTCATATTCGTTTGTGGAATGTCTCCAATATTCCTGTTCAATAATTAATAAATAATATCTATATTTATTTAGTTTCTAATGGCAAAAATGTCGAAATGCTCCGAGCGATCGCATTATGATACAGCATATGAATAGCTCGATCGTTCGGCACATGTTTGATCGAATGTAATAAATAAATAAATATCGCGTGCAAAGTACAAGTATAAGGGTATCGATATCGATATCGATCGTACCACTCTAATGAGCCAGTTGAGAACAAAGGCCGATGTTGAGTAATGGGTCCCGTAGTGGAACGGCGGTATGCTCTCGTGTTCCCAACTGTTGTACCTCTCCTCGAAGTAGGCGCGACGGTTCGGGTTGAGGGCGCCGATCGGCTTCGAGAGGTCCCTGTAATTCGACGGCTGGCTAAGGTCCATGTCCTTCGACTCGTAGTTGGTCAGCACCCACGGGAACACCGGGTACTGGTTCAGATCGTTGTACGTACGACCTGGTAATAGACATATGACACTGGGCGTAAGTGGCATTTTCCATCAAGGCAAATGTGTAAATGATAATAATCGACTTAATGATAATTTTACAATGACTTTATTATATTGAAAACTCTTCTAGATTAATCAATTTTGCACAAATTTTGGCTAGCATACCAATTATATTCGACAAATTGAATTATCAAGCAACAAACTTAATAGAGTGCAAAGGAAATTTGAAAACTACCTTAAGCACTTTGCGCAATCGAAAAGAATTAGAGCACATGAAAGCGAAAAAATTTTACTGAAATGCGAGGACAATAACCTAAGCAAACGACAGCAAATTACTGATCTTATTTTTTTCATAAGACAGTAAATGGCTGTATTGATTCTCCTAAGATTCTAGAAAAAAATAATTTGATATGCCCAAGGAGACAAGGATTAAGAACAAACCGTATTGTGCAGACTTCAAAAACATTCGATTCCTATTGATAAGGAGACGTGCTGGTTAGTTTTTGGCAAAGACAGGTCCAGCCATTTCGAAGATACGGGGCAAAAAGTGCCAAAAACGGTAACTCAGTTTTTAAGAGAACGGAGCGTCCGATTTTAATAATTCAAAAAATATTTTACTTGTATTGACAAAATGAAGAACTTTTGAATGTTTGGAAAGGCAGGTCTAGCTGTTTCGGAGGTCAATAAAAAACGTTAAAAAATGCCAAAGGCTTTAAAAAATGATCATCAGACATACTCACATCAAATAATTAGATTTTTTATTGAAATTTTAACAATAAGTACAAATTTTGTTTACATTTTTATAGCTTCCAACTTTTATTCAAAAATTTAAAATTTCTCAAAAATCTGTCTTCAAAAAATTTTAAAGCTTTTTTAAAAATTTTAATTTTTGATACAAGAAATTCCAGCAAAGTGCCAAGCACCACTAGTTCAATTTTTATAGGCAATCACTTTTCGCAGGCCTATAATATTTTAGAATATTCGAAAAGTTCCATTTTTTTTTCAATTTCGGTGTCAAATGATTCAGAATGACTTGTAACGTCGCGAAATAATAAAATTACCAAATCGGATTTTCTGGTAAAAACAAACAAACTCATTCGAGAAGTTAATTATAAACATTCGAGATCAATGACACAACTACAATCCATCATCTTCATAATTCACAACTAAAAAGCAAACTATTTTATTTCTTTCCATAAGAAAATGAAAAATTAACAAATTAATTAATCAATACCATGATGAAAATGTTTTGTGGGATAATATAAATATAACTGAAAATAAAAATATAACTAAAAATCCGTAAACTTTTAATATTAGGTTGTCAAATATCTCCCTTCCGCTTTTTTGCTCTTGGTTTATAATACAAAAAGGCGGAAGGGAGATATTTGATAACCTAATATAAAATATCGTATACCAAATCCGTAAACTCTTAATATAAAAAATAACTTACCCGCAATTGTATTTAAAAACATTAGGTATTCGAAATTAGAAATTTCTCTTCTCTGCCACTTTTGTGTCATATTGGAGTTTCGCATTAATTGACGAGGGGACATCATAGAAGCTCTCCTGAAATAAATCAATAAAACAATAAATAAATACTCAAATTATTTAAAATAATTAATCTAATAAATATAATTACCTTGTTTGCGGAATTCCATATTTGATACCGACACCAACACGAGGCAGCGCCTTTATAACTTTTTTAACAGTGCTCTGATCGGGCAAGGCGAACAATATTGAAGCTAAAAAAAAATTATTAATTCACTAAATAAAAGACAATTTTAAATACGAACAAGTGAAAACTTATTATAAACATTCAGTTCTCTTCAATAAATCAAAAGAAAATGAATAATATTACCAAATAATTAAAATTTCAAATCCGTAAAAATGTAGGTAATATGAAAGCTGAAAATTATTCACTAAATAAAAGACTATTTTAAATGACGAACGATTGTCATATGACATTCTACACTCAGTTAAAGAGTCAAATGTTGAAAAAAATATTAAAAAAATAAAATTTTTAATCTATAAAAAATGTAAGTATTATGATAAGGAATTAAATTGTTCGAGGAAATAACTTTTTTTTTTAAATTTTGTCTAATTCAAATCAATGGTAATTAATTTGGTCTAATTTTTGAATGCAGTTGTTCATGTATCGACTAAATAACATTAGAATTATTACAATCCTTTAACAACATTTTTTATTTTAATAAATAAAAAAACTCACTTAAAAAATCTGAAACGGTTAAGATGGTTGAAAATCATGGATCTGCTTTTGGCCTATCATAATTATTGAATTCAATAATAATATTAATTGATTAAAAAACTTACTGCGACTAGCCAAAAAGATTTCTATTGCCAAGTTTTGCAAAAGGTAACGCCTTGAAAAAATAGCTCGTACTTCTGAAAAATACCATTTTCCATGGAGATGATCACAGTAGCGCAAGACCTAGAACAAAAAACATCATTATTAAATTTATGAAGGACAAAAAAACATTAAAGAAACTAATCAATTAAGTAATAATTAAGTCTATAAAAAAGTCACGTTGTTTAAGAAGTCAGCACAACACGGGTCATAGGACTCGTTAGGTTCCGTTTGTAGTTAAAAAAAAATCTATATTTTATTTGATTATTCCTATTGCGACCCTGGTAACCAGACACCGTGCAACGTACTCTGATCGTGCGCGAAGTTTCCTTTTTCACCAGACCTCGACGTGCAGGCGCACGATGGCGCAACCTGATCGCTGCTCTCCGCTAATACTCGTAAAATTAATAATCCTATAGAAATATACGATTATTAGACAAAGCGCCGCTTAAATTGCAGTACTTCAATGCTGAATCCTGAACGATATGTTATTCCTGGTATTGTGGTATTTTTATTTATTGTTAGTTCTGTTTCAGTAAACATAACGACGTCGTGAGTAATGCGACGCCGAAACGAACGATGTCGTTTTATTGTCTCGATATGAATATACGACGCAATTGTATCGGATGTCAATTATGCATTTACGAAACTGCATTCCGATATTAATATTTGCCAGTCGGGTACCTTGGCTGTCTTATTTTTATTAAATTACAATATGTCTTCACAAAGAGAAGCATCAAGTAAATTTGAGGGTAAAACGTAAATAATGGAAGCGGTCATCCAGTGAACCTTTCTATATCGATAAATTAAGTTAAATTGTGCATATGGAGAAAAATTATAAATATAATAAATAACAAATTTAAAATAAAAACAATAAAATATTACCGTTACGATGATAGTTGCATTTAAGTAAAGGGGTATTCGGGTCTAGAGGCATGATTTTAATGTGATTTTTGAAAGGCCGTCAAAAAAGGCCAACAAGATTTTTACTAGTTTTTCACAAATTTTTAAAAAATGTTTTAGAATACAGAAAAAGATTGAAAATTAAAAACAGCCGAAAAGTTTTAATTCTCTAAAACAGAGAAAAAAATATTTATATATTATTAATCTTAAATAATGTCTCAAACTACTAGGACCAAGTTTCTTTTTTGACTTTGTATACAAGTACATTAGTCATATACGTTTTATAAGTTAACTTTTCTATTTTATTTCATTCTTGTATATAATTATATAGCGCACTATATATTCTATTATTTGTCAACAATGTTATAAAATTAGTAGTTCTCGCCTACCTCCATAGTTCTTGCCTACCCTTTTTCCATGGACAAGTTAAAACATGTTTTTTTACAAAATAGCAACTGCCTTTTTTATTTTTTTCTGATTTTTTACAAATATTAAATACCGCAATTTTGGGGATAAGCATAGTTCATACTGAAGAGAAATATATATAGAAGAATCTGTAAAAAATTCAGTTCAATTGATCCAATAGTAGTTGTAAAATCGGGTTTAATCGACAGTTTCGAGAAAAACGTGTTTAAAGTTTCGCGGAGGAAGGAAACACAGAAGGATTAACGTGGCCAAACAGCTATATCTCCGAAAATAATTTCAATTTTGAAAAATCCTTTTTTGCACATATTCCTAAATAGTTAAACTTTGAAAATACGCGATAAACACAAAATCGATCTTTTAAAAATTCAAGACCAGAAGACCCCCTTTGGCATTGTAACCGATCGAGACAGAGCTTTCTTTTGAGGCTTCAATAAATTTCTGTCACATGCGATTTTCAGAAAGTTAAAATATTGTAGTTCAACCTTGATCATTATTATGATTTTTAACCAACTGTAGGACAATCCAACAAACTAACCCCTAACTATAGTAATTTATAATCACTTTTCCATACTTATTCATCCCATTATCGAGTCCGAGTATACCACTCTGTAGCATCGTATTCCGCTGTATATTCTAGTGCGTCTCGATCTCTATTGTCCTCCCAATTTATGGACCCGAAATGTAAGTGATTTGTACTTGGAAATCTGTATTACATAGTCCTCTCTCGTTAATACGTAACAACAAACTAGGGTAGGTCGAGACCTTTCTCTTGATTCGGGATTAAACGGCGTCCCAGGGGATGACGCCGCCGATGTACTTCAATCTACAATCTCGCATCATCACAAAAACACTCCGAATGAAAAATGCACAATCAGGGGAGGACCCCGAATAGGAGACAACATTTTTTATTGTTGTAATTGCACGACGTTTAGAGTAGGTACTTGAAATTACACTATGACTCAATTAGTAAATGTATAAATGTTATGCATCTACTATAAATAAATAGGGAAAAAATGATTCTAAACAGCAAATTATTATTAAATTCATATTAAATACCGTATTAGATTTGATCACTAAAATCTGATGCGTGATTTTTTTTAGTTTACAAATTTTAAATAAATACAATACTTTTTCACCATACCCTGGCGAATTTTTCACCATATTATTGTGATGATTTAATTTTTTGCAATTGGAAGAAACATTTCTTATATCGATTGATTAAAAATAAATCGAAGACCTCAAAATAAACCGATTACAATCAATTTTACACTTATTTTTAGATGTTTACTCTGTAAAAGTATATTGGACAATTAACACAAGTCAAAGTACTAATGGTATTAAAATAACTATGGTACAAAGAAAGGTGAATAAAAACATCAAAGTAACATATAATGACCAATAAAAGAACTATTATATTAAACAAATATCGAAGCACTACAGAAAATAATCAAAATAAAAAAAATAATTCTAAAACATAGAATCAAGAACAAACAATGGTTCATATAAATTGCCTAGTGAAATAAAAACAGTGAATGATTTCATTAAATTTTATATAATTATATAGCGCACCATATATTCTATTTTTTGTTAACAATGTTATAAAATTAGTAGTTCTCGCCTACCTCCATAGTTCTTGTCTACCCTTTTCTCATGGACAAGTTAAAACATGTTTTTTTTATAAAATAGCAACTGTCTTTTTTATTTTTTTCTGATTTTTTACATAAATTAAATACCGCAATTTTGGGGATGAGCGTAGTTCATACTGAAGAGAAGTATATATGAAAGAATCTGTAAAAATTTCAGTTCAATTGATCCAGTAGTAGTTGTGAAATCGGGTTTAATCGAAAAGACAATTTCGAGAAAAATAAAGTAAAAAAAAAAGATTTATCATGAATGAGCAACACTAACTTCCTACTATATAGCAAATATTTATAATTTGTATCTGAATAAATATATGTAATTATTTATCTTATATTATATAAATCTTCCAAAAATTATAAAAATCTTCTGTACGTGTGTTGTCACTCTATTGCTCCTGTACGGATATTTAAATTTTGATGAATAATTTTAGAGTTAGTCAACAAAAATAAAATGTTGGCAATGAACTAAAATATTATTGCAATAATGTAAAAAATGAGAAAAATTGAAAAAAACAAACCACGGATGAGATAAAAACTTTTGACATATCAATTCACTTAAAATTTAAACTTAAATGATAATATATTAGGTTGTCAAATATCTCCCTTCCGCTTTTTTGCTCTTGGTTTATAATACAAAAAGGCGGAAGGGAGATATTTTATTATGTTGAATTATGAGTAAGCAAAATGTAATTTTAAAATAATTGTTGTCACAAAACAATTAAAATATACCAGAGATTAAAATAATAAATATAAATATTGAATTTAATAGTACTTAAAATGTTAATATGTGTTAAATTTGGAATAAAAAAAATGGAATATCAGATTTATTATTGCCGAACAGTTACTAAAGAATGTCAGAGAATAAAATATTAAAAATTTTAATAATATAAAATATTCGTTTATATGGCAGTTCAGTCATATTTTTCCATATTTTAATATATTATTTCAATCAATAACACTTGTAGATATATATTTTTATTTGTTGATAATATTAGGTTGTCAAATATCTCCCTTCCGCTTTTTTGCTCTTGGTTTATAATACAAAAAGGCGGAAGGGAGATATTTGACAACCTCATATATTCAATAACGTATTTATAATTTTGTTTTATTGGGTCTAAAAAGATAATTAGATATTGCCTGTGAAAGTACTAAAACAAATATTGTTGAAGCGTGATGGCGGAAGTCAGTTAGTTCATAATCTAAAACTTATAAAGATCATTCGACTTCTGAGTAATTATCTCATGGAGTTACACGAAACATTACAAGGTAAAAAGAATTTAAATTTCTACCCTGAACAAGTATATATTTCCATTGATTGATAACTGTTGCCCATTACTAAATAAACCCCTTATCCTACGATTCGACTATCCTATCCTCCGTGTATTAAAAACTCCGAGTCCATCGAGCGCATGTTCCGGCGCTATCGATCGTCCGGCGAAGAGTCGAGCGCCGCCGACGTCCCACCAGCGATAGGCGGCGACGTCCCGCTTCTTCAGATTGGTCAAGTCGGCTCGGGAGCGACGCGGAGGACCACGCCGCAGACCGCACGACACACCTCGAAGCGCACGACGGACACGACGAGGGAAATTATAATGGGCAATAGTAATAGGACTAGGATAATATCGCGTTGGGTAAGAAAATAGTTTTTTTTATTCATTTATTTTATACCACATGTGTAATAGATAATAATCAACGTTATTTCATAATATTATGTCCAATCACTGGATTGGCATTCGATTTTTTCGACAACCGAAAATTTGCTGATAGAAGAGGCGCAATAAAAAATCATAATCTTATCAAGCTAATTCATAATTAGTAGTCGTTGTAAAATAATTTTATTATATTTTTTTATTGTTATCTTAAATAAACTATCAGGAATAAAATCTATGTCTATAAGTTTATGGTCTATTCGAGTAGGGTAGAGCGGGGCTATTTGAGCATAGGGGCAAGTTGGGCAATCGAAATATCTCGAAAACTATTCACCATCCGTTTAGGCATTATATGGAGGAAAGATAGAGGTTTGGGATAAATAGACATCCCGCAATCGCTAGTAGCCGCTGGACAAATGAGTGAGGCTCACGGGCGTTTTGTTTATTTTGAGACCAAAAAGTAAAA